CGCCAATGATGAAATAAACAAATATACCAAAAAAAGAAACTCTTTTTCCTTTTTTTTATTTTTGTTTGTTTTCCGCAGTAAAAAGTGCAAGGTTTTTTTTTTAGTTTCCACTATGCTGAAATGCCAAAGGGGAAGAGTTCCTGAAGGGCGCTTCAGTTGCATACAAGGTTTTTGTTCTTACTTTAACCTGAACTCAAGGGACTATAACTTCTTCAACCCATGTCGTTATAGACTGGTCTGCACCACCAGCAGAAAATTCTTTCGTTTAAATAGACACATATACTAGAACACCAGTTGCTGACTTATATAATGACACAAATAAGTCCAATAACTATGATACACTTACCACAAAGGACTTACTTTCTCTCGATATTAATGATTATTTTTGAGTAACTACTCACCCTTTTCAACACGAAGATATTTATTCTTCAAATACTTCAATTAATGATGAACATATAACGTCCTCTTCAAGTCTTCCTATAATACCATCATGTGACTATACTGAACTACAGAACAGTCTCCCTGAAAATTCATCTCTTGTCAACAAAATTATTACCTTAAAAAAGGATATTACTTCTACAACTCCTCCTTTTACATATAATTCTGGCGAGAATGCGCAGACTCCTCTTCTCATTTTTTTCAAAAAATTTCATGTGACCAAAGGTTAACGAATTGGTTATAACAAGATCTACGAATTTAGACGTTCAAAAAGTTTCTTTTTTGAGATGGTTGATCAAATTCCAGACACCAATGAAATTCATTTATGAATACACACAAATGATTATCATATGTCTAGTAACCGATTAAATACATTTTCACGAGTAAACTCCCTAATGCCAAATATCAAATTAGCAAAGGACTTCAGCATTTTTTTTCTGGACAAAGAGTTATTCCTCGATGAATTCAAAAAAAATATTTCAATCTTGTTTGCAAGAAATTATTGGAGTATATTAATTTATCAAATCATGTGAACAAAAAAGTGATCAGCGAAATAAATCTACAAAAACTTTTTTTAATTTTTCTTACAAAAAATACTGCTTTTACTTTGGTATCTATATTCCTTGCAATCATGCAATTGATTTGTCCTTTATTTAGTCAACTTGTATAATTCCTAGTCCAATTATTATGTCTGATAATAGACACGCTTGCGGCTCTCACTTTATCAAACATTATCAAGATATTTCTGTCAGCTCAACGAATAGGAATATTTCTAAAGATTTACCTATCTTTAATAATTCTAAAGTCTCTCATGCTAATCTTCTTCATACTCGATGGTCTTCTAATTACAAGAAAGACATTTTTTCAAATAGAACAGGGATATCTTATCAAGCTAGTTATAGCGCTTATTCTCTTGATCACGTATGATTATCTGGTCACAAACACATTTATATGAAAAAATTGAGCAATCTTAAACGCTCAATGAGTTCCAATTCATGTATTGCAAGAAAACAGAAAGAACATTACGATCGTTCATATCGAAGGACCTTTAATAAATACAAGTCCCTGAACAAAAATAGTGATCTAACTTTTGGAGATTATGTGAATATTGGCAGATGCCATTGATTCCTTTTCACTGACTCACAGATTTTACCGATTAGGATTGAACATTTACTCTACAAAATAGCCAGGTCCACTCCCTGGAAAAAAGATTATAATTTCTTACTCCCTCGTGATGCTCTTATACCTACAGTCAAAAATTTTAGTCCACGACCAAATATGTTTATTCCTGTTAAGTATCAGGACATTATCCCGCCTCACCCAATTTACTCCACCGATGACGTTTTTATCGCCCCTGGTTCTCATCAATGGTTTACTTATATGGATGATTTACTCAAACAAAGGCGCATTGAAGCAGCAAAGATCGCAAAATCACAGGCGAAAAAGGAACAGACACAATTAAAGGCTCAACATATCTTCAAGCATGGATCAACAAAAAAGCACTATGAATAATGTGAGGAACAGAAAACACGTCTTACAGAACTTTCAACTTTTTATCATCAAAGTTTGGTTACTTATCATGAAAACTATCTTAATAATGAAAAGCGTCGATATAACGTTACAAGAAATGATTTGAGATGTCAGTTCACCAACATTGAAGTTGATTACAAGGAATATATGGATAAATATAACAAGCGTCTACATTCCTATCAAAAATTTCTTGACAAATTTTCCATCGAAAAAGACAGAAATATTTCCGATGACATGAAACGTAAAGAATTTCACCCTAATAAAAGGGATACATTATTGAATAATAATATCAATTACGATTTAAGTTCTCCTAACAAAAAAAGAACCCGTAATGGGATTGTCCAGTTTCTATTCTTAGAACATACATCACTAAATTATCAGGAAGTCCAATAACTATCCCTGATCAAAATCGTAAATTTTACATTAGGATTTTTACATAAAATTAACGAAAAATGTGTCCAATAACTGTTAATGGACAATTAACTCATTAATTGGTATAATCATTATATTTGCGGACAGTAATCAGACAATACTGTCTTATAACCGAAATTTAAAGATCGTCCAAACTGGTCACTAGTAATAAACTACATTTTATTAGTATTAACTTAATAATTTCAACTTAAATAAATTAAAAATTTATATATTATATATTAAAAGTTTAAATAGTCTAATGGTTAGGTCGCGAAAAAGTATTTAAGGTCCTAGGTTCAAATCTTAAGGCAGGTAAATTTTAATTTAATATTATATACAATAATATTGTATATAAATACCAAATATAATTTTAATTAGACGTCCATATACCTGAAGTTTACGGTTTATGGACGTACATAATATAACGTCCAACCTGCGGAGGGTCTGTCAATAGACAGTTAGTGGACATATGTCCAATAACAGTTGCTGGTCAGCCTGAAAATTTAGTGATGTACACTTCACCATCTGTTTGTAATAGTGATGCTAATCATACTGAACGTCGACTGATACGTAAGGTATGCTCCCGCTTTGACTCTATGTGATTATTCGATGACTTCTTGAAGGCGGGTCCGTCCAAATTTTTAGATTTAATTTTTCTTCATTAACTATTTTATTATATAGTTTTATTGTTTTTTTTTAGAAGTCATTTTTAAATATATATAGATATTTTCTATTTCTAGTTTGTATTCCCTTTTGGGATGGTTTGATATTTTTTTTACAAAAACAATTAGAATAGTGTGAACCACTCCACCTATGACAGTATTTACAGGTGGCAACTTTTATGTTGAAAGAAAAATACGGGATCATTATTTTTAGCGGTTTGTTTTATTTTTCCTGGCCGCTCCTATGTTGGTAGTAGCAAAGGAGTTCTCTAGTTACCATTTATAAAGAAGTTCGGGTGTTCTAGAATAGATGATAGCAAGAAGTAGGATTAATTCCCTTTTGAGGGTATATATCCTGATTAATTGTCTATCCTAACTTCACATAAAATAAAATAAAATAAAATAAACAAATATACCAAGTCATTGAATTGATAAGCTTAAATCTTTATACTCAAGACCTCAAAACAATGTTTACAATTATAGTTTACAGTTAGGATCCGCGTGATGATTACTTTATAACCTGTACTTATTACAATAGGATAAATTAAAACGATACAAAATTGTTATTAAAGTGTTTATGGAAAGTGTAGACATGATATTCGTAAAGGTCTGTATCACAATCTTTTTAATTTTGATTAATATTCGTAAACGGGTAATATATTATTGATATACATGTTATATAAAGGTGTTGCCATCTCACACAATACGATAATTCTCGCATTCTTATAATTTATAAAGAAAAATGAGTTTACTATCATATTCGATTCATATGATTCATATCACTATATTTACCTCATTCTTTCTTTTATTTATGATACTATAAATAATGTCCAGCAAAAAGTAAATTATGGTTATGGTGTTGAAACTGATTTTTACATTGTGATGATTATTCCATTAACAGTCAATATCTTTAGTTTTTTAGGAACTTTATTTATTTTCTATCGTAAGTACTTTTAATTAATTTTCGATTTTTATCATTTAATTTTTAAATATATTCGATTTTAGGAACATTCTTACGGTGGAAATATGATCGTAAATATATTCTATTGTCGTCTAGATTTCCATTTTATATAGCGATTATGGGCAATTATTTTAAAAATTGTTTATAATAACGATTATTTTAATTACTTCTATGTTAATTTTTTTATATTTATGATTTTCTATATTCATCATCCATCTTAATTGAGTTTGTAAGTAAATAAATGAAATTTTTTATTTTAATAAAAATCAAATTAATTAAGTTAACTAAATTTAAACTAATCATATCAACAATTTTTATAGTCATATGCAGCTGATTTCAGGACATTTAGCAAATTCTAAAGAACTCGGAAATATTTGGTAAAGCTCATATTATTTAATTTTATTTTATTTTATTTCAAGATAAGATAAAATTATACCACCATTCTCGGAACAATACTTCAAAATTAGCGTATAATTTTTATTTTATATCAAGCTTTTACTGAATATTTCAGAGTTCTTTAAAATTTGCCAAGTGTCCCGACCTTTTTGAAATTAGCTATTAGCTATAAATATATGAATAAAGAAAATTTGAAAAAAGATACAATAAAAAATCAAAAAATCAATACATGTTTTAAACTGAAATATAAATATACTGGTGATATAAATTTAAGACTACAAATAATAAATGAATTTACTATAACTTGATATATAACCAATTGTTAATATTGACGATGATCATGTTTAAAAAGAAAAATTACTTTATAAATTTTGATAATTCAAAGTATCGATATCTTCCTTGGTATATCCTAGTTCCTAGACTTGTAATATTAACTAAGAGTTTTCGTTTACAGTATGCATAAAAGTATGCTTAAAATCCGTATCAATATCTAAGTCGAATTCTTTTGTAAGATAATCTAAAGAATATTTACACGATTTTATTAAATTAAATTATGAATTTGATGTATTTTTACGAAAATGTAATTACCTTCATTTTTACAATTTTCTCTTTTAATACTTTGACCTAGACGTATTTTTTAATTAGTACAATAATTTAGTAAAGTTTATCAATTAAATTTATTTGCGATTTACAAGTATCATACCATTATCATTACTATCTTCGATTAAATCATCCTCAAACCTTTTTTTGAATTTTTCTAAATTAATAGATTGATTTCTTGAACTCCTTAAAGACATTGCAGAATTAATCATGGCACTTAAAGATCTACTCTTATAAATGGCACCTGGATTACTTTTTGGTACAGGTCCAATATCTGTTGATTCTATAATTTTACTTGAATTATATATTATGTTCCGTTCATTATTTGTCAATATCATAATTCCGTTATTTATATCAGTAATCTGTGGCCTTTTACTTGGATCCAAATGCCAGCATTCTTTCATTAATTCAATATATCCTTCAGGTGCATTCGTAACAATTGGTGGTCTTAAACCATCACAAATATCAATAATAAGTTCCGTATCATGATTTCGATCCCAAAAAGGTCTTCTACCTGTCATTAACTCCCACATAATCATTCCAAAACTATATATATCTGAAGCTTCGGTATATTTCTGTCCTTGAAAAATCTCTGGTGCCATATAAGGAATAATACCATAATTTTAATTTGTATTATCTGTAGATTCAGTTGCAGATTTACTAATTCCTAGATCGCCTATAAACATGGAATCATATTTACCAGTAAAGATATTTCCACTATGTAAATCTCTGTGGATAATATTTAATTTATGTATTTGATCAAGTCCAATTGCTATACCTAATAATCTCCATAGCTTTTCACTCCAGTTAATATTAAAAAAATCTTTAGTAATGTAACGTTTCAAGTCACCTGAATCATAATATGGCATGATAATCATGATATCTTGAGAATTAGGATCTTGAGTAATTTTAAAATATCTGGCAATATAATAATCATCTTTATTTTTTGATGAATAATCATAAAATATCTTGAGCTAAAATGAAGAAAGCTTATTAATCTTATTAATGATAAGGTTTGTTGATTAAACGGCATACTATGTATTGTACCTCGTTCAACTCCTTAGATGTGATGTTTTTAGAATCATTAATTTTTTTGAGGACAACTGTATAATTTTGGGAACGAATATATTTTTTGTTACTATAATTAATAACTAGGCCATCAATCCAAGTAGCTTTATAAATTTTACTAAAACCTCCTTCAGCAATAAATTCTATATTTATGAATTGTTCATAAGGAACATATTCCATTTTCCCGTTTTCATTAACAAGATTGATTTGTGTATATCTGATAAAATCATCAATAATTTTGTTTCCACTTGATCCGTACTTATATACCATCTTTATTTTGTAAAAAACGTGACATATCTGATGGCTTTCATCTAAAGGTTTCCTTCTTTTGTTACATTCGGGACATTTACTTCTTTTATATTTTGATTCAACAATGGTTTGTGTTTGTTGAATTAGAAATGTATTGTTTTATGAGTTTGTTGGTTGTTCCATGCTTTTTTATAAAAAAAAATTAGTTTTTTAATTTGGGTCAAGGAAAACTGCTGTCTAATATATATGTTTTAAAATTTAATAATTAAACAAAGAATTCTTTTTTCGAATTCTGTACACAATTTCTAGAAGTCTTTAATAGAAATACGAATTTCTAGAAAATGATGGCAAGAATTCTATATAACATGCAAAGAATTTTATAGTCACACATGATACTGCATAACTGCATACGTGACACAGCGGATTAAGTTATATTTTTGGAAATATTCCTATAATAAGTTAATCATTGTAAACACGTGAATTATTACAATCCTAACGTATGGATTTTGATCATTTGGAATTATATTAAAATAAAAAATCGTTTAAAACGTGCTTTTTATAATTGGTAAAAGGAAATATTTAAGTATCAATTAATAATAAAAATATGAAGATTGAAGACTAGAAATTATTAAGTGTCAATACAATGATTTATGAGACTGGAAATAATGGATTAATAATCATAAGGAACATATTATGACGTAATCAAAAATTGAGAAAGCTAAAAGTGTCCATTTAAAAGTAAATTAAGAATATCCAAGTTGCTGGAATAAAGTTACTTATATTCGTTAAATGATCCGATTATTTAATGTTTAAATGATTTGTTTTAAAGTCTTGAAAGGATTACTTAATTTTTATAAACGTATTTGTAAAATTTATTTTCAAATAAAAGTATAATTATAATGAAATTTTTCAAAAAAAAAAAAAAATTTTGTATTAGGTGTTAAATTAAATAGTGAATTAAAAAATCAGCCCTAAATAAAATATATTGTTATGGTTTTTTTATAATTAATGAAATTACTTTAACTATTGAAATTCCTTTTTTAAACTTTTACATGAATTTTATACTGAAGATAAAATTATAGAAAGTATATAAAATTATTAAATCTCAGAATATTTATAGTGTTCGAGTAGAAAAAAACTTGCTGATTAAAATCAAAAGATAAGAACAAGATGACTTTAAATAACAATAATGCCTTAGACGCTAATTATATTATAAAAAAAGTCAATCTTTTAGAGAATTTTTACTACATAAAAATTTTAGTGAATTTATAATAATTTTTTATTTTTATAAACTTATTTTTTTCTTTTATTTGTGCAATTTCAGCTTCTTTACTTTTAATTATCAGTTGGACGCAATTTGGCTTGTGTTATTACAAGTACGATCTTTATATATTTGGTTTCGTATCATATCTGTAACTTTAGTAATAATAATATATTCACACAGCAAAATTATTAAATTAGATTGTCAGACCAGTAATTATTGATGTCTAACTGTAAGTAAACAACCAATCCATAACTGCTACACTATATCATACCGAAATGATTTAAACAATACCCTATAATTTATTGGACAATTTAATGCCTTGCGAAATTCAACTTATAGACACACAATTTATCATGTATTATGTATTAGCAAAATACATTTAACAATTATTTGACATAATCATCGTTAATCACTATATCTTCTATCCACATCCTTAATATTATGATTGTTATAACTATATATCTGGTATTCATTCGGCATGTTACATTGGGGTGTGTCGTGTGCGATATTCTATGCTTATCAAAATTTAGTATAACCTATATAATAAGTGATTTTTTAGGCACACAAATAATAAATAGCATTTGCTTAAGATTCGCTTAGCATTTGCCTTACTTTAAGCATGCCAACTTTAACCTCTTATACACTCTACTTCCACTACTACTTATCTTGATTTATAAATATTATCAAGTTAGATCAATAATTTATTCCAAACTTTAACGTAATGTTGCGTTTTTTCATTCTATGATCTTTAAACAACTTATTTTTAATTTTTTTGGAAGATTTCATGACAAACAACCATTAACTAAATCTTTATAGGATAATTTTATATCAAGAAACCAATTTATTACTATTTTTGCAACATTATCATAAAGCATAGGTTCTGTTAATTATATGGAAGCAGCTAGAACCCTTTACATTTAAAATTAAATGAGGAGAGTAGTTTTGAAATATTACTTTGATAATTTACATCGAAAATGATCAGCATCACCAAAATCTCCTTCACCTATATAAATAAACTTTAAATAACCAAAATCATCGCTTTCATATAAATAAACTTTTTAATATTTTCTAAGTTTTATTATAAAGTATGCCAAAACTTTCCAAGCAAAGATAGCATCTACATCAAATAACTTTGAATCGACAAAAAAAATACACGACCCAGTGCAATTCACAAAATTCTTAGCGAAATGGATGAAGTAACACTCAAAAGATTTAGTTCATAAAGTCCGTGTACTGTTTAAAAAATGGATGAAAACAGTCAAAGTAAAATATTAAAATTCAAATATTTTTTTTTATTTTAATAAACAACTAAAAAGTTTACAAATTGAAAATTCAATTTTTTTTTGAGATAAATATAAAAGATTTAATAATTTCATTTATCATTAATTCAAAAAAAAAACATAAATTCTTTTGATTATATGTATTCTAGCTAATTTTAAATATATTATTTTGCTATTTCTTTTTTATTAAATTTTCAAGTTGTTATATTTCAAACTAAAATATAACAAAGGGAACGAATTTTAAATTCTTAAGCGTAAAATTTCAATATTTGAATTAATCTAAATTTGGCATAAATAACTAATAAGCTTCTTTTATATAATCATAAATATCAAAGTCATTATAATTTAGAACTTGAATATCATGTAATTGAAATTCCTTTGCTTTATCTTTCAAAGAATACAAATCTTCACCTATTCCATAAAGAGATTCTAAAATAGCTAAATATTTAACTCTTTTCTTTTTCACTATATATTCTTTTATATAGGGTAAAATATCTTGACTTCCATCATTCCTTGCATTCTTTACATTCTTTCTATTTCTAATTAACAATTTTTTGGTATAAGTATTTTGGGAATTTTTTAAAAATATTTCTAAATCACTTCCATTAATTACAAGGTCCAAATTCAAATATTCTAATTTAAAAGGAAGAATTTGTCCTAAATTTTGTAATATAATTGGACTAATTTCAATATTTTTATTCATATTAAAGAAACTGGAATTGATTATAAGATAATTAAGATTTTGTCTCATATTTTTAATTAAATCAAATAATAAATTAATGTTCTGGTTATTTAGTCCAATAGTTAAATATAACAATTTAATATTGTTACAATATAATTTAAGTGATTGTATTAATTGTTGGAATTCACAGTTGGTAATTCCAAAATTTTCTAAATAATTGCCAGATTTTTGTATTAACGGTTCTAATAATAATTCATCCACATAATTCAAAAATAAAGATTTTAATTTAAATGGTTTTATAATATTATTAATTTGTTGAATAAATTTAGAATCTAGAAAATAACAATAAACAATATGAATTGATTCTAAAACATTCAATTGATTAAATACTTCACTTAAAACATTTATATTTCTAAAGTCAATATAATGAAATATAATTGTATTTAATGTGTTTGAACAATTAGATGACAATAGTAGATATAAAGGGGGATCATTATTATAACAAAATGAAATCTTTTTAAGGTTTTCTTGAAACTTAATCATTTGTGATAAATTTTCTTCAATTATTGGATAATAATGAGAATATTGAGAATAAAATGATGAAATCGAATTGCAGTTAGAGCAGAGAAATCCTATAAATTTTCTTACATTATCAGTTGCATCATCAAAATCAAGTGTTAAATCTTTAATATTATGAACGAAATTCGGATTTTGTAAAATTAATTCAAAAGCCGCATCAAAACATTCAAATTCTTCATCATCAGCCATAACTTTAAAACTATGCAAATTTACTTCATTTTCAATGAATATTAGAAATAATGATCTAAAAATAAGTTTTGCAAAGTTTGACATTCGTGAAGGTGAATAGCTGGAATGTTTCTCTTCAATTGTAGATGCCCAAATTTCAATAGAATTATAAACATTACGTGTATCTAAACATTGAATAAATTTAGGATAATTAAATAAGGTATTTGAAGGAAATATGTCATTATGGATTATATATTCATTTAATTTTGTTTTATCATCATCACTTAAATTATGCAAATAAATTTCAATAAAACGATGATTTTTAGGGAATTTGATTGAAAATGGATCTTCCCATAATAATGGAATTGCTAAACGACACCATAATCTATTAACTAATATGCATGAATGTAATGTTTTATAGTCATAATGAAAATATTGTATGACTTCGTTTAATAACTCAGGCAAATCTCCTGAAAAAAATTTTGAACATGCCATATTAAATGAAAGAGAGAAGAAAGAAAAGGGATACCAAAATTACTAAAAGTTACATCAAATTTATTATATATGAATTTCGGATCGGCAATTCCCGTTTGTCGCACAAATTAAACTTACATAAATTTGCACATGGTAACATGATCACTATATATGTCTGATTCACTTTTCTGCCCCACGTGACTTTTTGGCCGGCATTACGGAATTAAGAAATTAACTACGTGATGAATAAGTATGTGAAAAATAATTTTATAATTTTACACACCTCGAAAAAAATCCAAGTTGGAAATGCAGAGGGTGTGATACCGTGTGACAAATATTTTACAATGATCACGTGGGCAGGAAAGGTGTAAACCATGTGATTATCGCATATCACATAAAATAGAAATAAAAAAATTGGTTCATTAAGCATGAGATACAGAGATTTACTTACTTTTATAATTTCTAAAATTTACTCTAAACAAAATACAAAAAAAGCTAACTTATAAGTAAAAAATCAAATTTTATACGAAGGTTTATGTTTATTACTAATGCTCTTAATAAAATTCACATGTAAAAATGTATAATTTATACTTAAGTTATAATACGGTTAATTGTAAAATCTAATTTTTTATAGATAATGCAAATTGTTACTATTCTATCATATTGGAAATAATTCCTGCTCGAGCAAGTATAAAGACTTTTGAAGGAATAACTCAACGATTGACTAGTCTAAATAAATAATGACATTCAGCTGTTTCAGTTAACGTTATCATTTTTTAAAGTGTAATTAAAGTGATTATATAGTAACTAAATTTATTACAAAATGAACGATACTTGAAAATTTTGAATTATGAAAGTTTTTTTGTTCAAAGAGCTATCAGGATTTTGCAAAAACAAACTCTTAATAAAATGTATATAAATAAGATACTTTGAAGACAAACATCTAACCCAAGTATAGTTCAGTATGATTTTTACTTCGATTTAAACTCTAAGTAATTAAGAATTTAAGAATCTAGAAAAATTTTAAACTTGAGTTATATTTAATATCATCATAATTTTTACGTCATAAAAACAATAACATTAATAAAAGCTATTTTTTTTATTATCGCAGTTTTCAGAATTCTGTATACGTTATAATTACTTGATGATTATGATTACAGGACAATTACAGGACAATTACTGGACAATTACTGAGTGATTATGATTATAGGACGATTATAGGATGATTATAGGACGATTACAGGACAATTACCGGACAAAATTGTCCAGTTTTTGTCCAGTAATCATCCTGTAGTCATAATCTCATAATCTTTTTTATTAGATGGCCTGCAGGGGGTAGCACAATTTGAAAAGCGCAATAATACCAGTTTTTTATTAAGTATGAAATATAATTTTATCATCATTACATTATCATTCATTGATGAATCTTCTATCAATCCATTGTTTAATGAATTTAATAATGTTAATATGGGACACCTCGGGTTATCTTTATAAAAGGATATGATGCTCATCTGCACGAGTACTGATGTGATATTTCGAATTTAAACAACTGAAATTGTTTTGATTCAAAAGTTTGATCATAGTAATAACAGTCGCAAATGTTGTAAGATTATTTATATAAAAAATTTTTTTTTAATCAAATAGAAACTAAAAAAATATAATTTTACGCCTCACTAAATAATTCAAATCCATTTTTTATTTAACCTCGGTTCCAATACCATTTACACCATGTATAAATTTTGCGCCTACATATCCATTTTTCTGCAAATTCTTTATAGAATTCAAATGCTTTATTTATATTTCTATCTACAATGATTCCTAATTCATAACATTCAGCTAAATTATATTTTGCAAGGCTATTTTCTTTCATTTTGCTGCTTTTTCAAGTCAATAAATAGTAACTTTTTTTAAATCTCTATCCATTCCATAGCCACAATTATATAAAAAGCCAAGTTTGACTTGGGATTCTAAATATCCTCTTTCAGCTGATTTATTAATATATTCAAATGCTTTAACTCCATTTTTAACTCCCAATCCAACTTCATAGTTTATATTGTGCTATTTCGCATCCACCTTCTTCTGCTTTACTATACTAATGGATGGATTTGTTCAAGTTTTTTTCTGCTCCAATTCCATTTTGATAATAATGACCTATGATATTAGTTTGTGCATTTAAATTTCCTCCTTTAGCGACTTTCATATACCATTCGAAAGATTTATTTTTATTTTTAGGTATTCCGATTCCATTTTTATTATAGCAATTACCTAAATTATTTTGCACATTCCATGATCATCAATATTAATTTTATTAGTCATTTTAGTTTCTTGATATACCACTTGGCTTGCTATTAGGATGTAAATTTAAAAATAATTTTAATAAATCGTTTTATACTAGTAATCCTTTTGGTAAGACTTTCTTATAATGTAAGACTTTATCTGAAAATTCTTTGGAAGTTAAATTATTATAAAATTAAAATAAACGGAATACATTGTTGCAATGTATTCTTTTTAAAAGAATTAAAATCATTATTTGAAAAACTAGAAGGATCTGAAAAAAGCTCAGGATTTTGTGCAAGTCTCCATTTAAGAACATATTCCCATATTTGAATTTCACTCATTTGAAGTTTATTATTTTGAATAACAAAAAAAAATTGAGTTTATACCAACAATATTTATATAGTAACTAAATAATGGACATAAATTATAAGTATTTATTATTTAATATTTTAACAAATAATGAGTAAATAATAAAGTAAAATAATACAAAGATGATCATAAATAATATTAATCTGAGGTTAATATATTTAAAAGGGTGTCTAAATACTCCTCCTTCAAGGTTTCATTAGCTTTCTTATACCAATAAACAGCCTTTTTCTATATTTTTTTCAGTACCTTCGCATCGTGTGTATAAAGATGCAAGAGCCAGCTGTGCATCAATATTTCCTCCTTCCGCAGCAAATTTATATAAATCAAATGCTTTTTCTTTATCAATTTCATATCCATGACAGTAAATATTCCCAAGTTTGTAATGAGCATCAATAAATCCTTGTTCAGCTGATCTTTTATAAATTCAAATGCTTGCCTTTCATTTTGACAAACACCTTTACCTAACTCATAACATTCACCTAATTTATATAATGCAATTTTATTTTCCTTTTCTGCTGCTTTATGATACCAATAATTCGCTTTATCCATATCACTTACTACACTTTCTTCTAAATTATTTGGTAGTACATTTCTACCAGCTGCTTAATTAAATAATTCAAATCCTTTTTCTTTATTAACCTCAGTTCCAATACCATTTACATAATAATATCCAAGTCTAAATATTGCATCTACACATCCATTTTCTGCTGATTCTTTATAGGATTCAAATGCTTTATTTATATCTTTATCTACACTGATTCCTAATTCATAAAATTCAGCTAAATTATAATTTGCAAGGCATCCATTTTTTGCTGCTTTTTCAAACCAATAAAAAGATTTTTTTAAATCTTTTTCCGTTCCATAACCATAATAATAACAATAGCCAAGTCTAACTTGAGAGTCTAAATATCCTTTTTCAGCCGATTTTATATAATATTCAAATGCTTTGACTTCATTTTTTTCAATTCCCAATCCATCATCATAAAAAGATCCTAGATTATATTGTGCTATTTCACATCCACCTTCTGCTGCTTTACTATACCAATGGATAGATTTGTTCAAGTTTTTTTCTACTCCAATTCCATTTTGATAATAATGACTTATATTGGTTTGTGCAATTAAGTTTCCTCGTTCAGCAGCTTTCATATACCATTCAAAAGATTTATTTTTATTTTTAGATATTCCGATTCCATTTTTATAGCAATCACCTAAATTATTTTGCGCATCTAAATTTCCTCCTTTAGCAGCTTTCATATACCACTCAAATGCTTTATTTTCATCTTTTGGGACTCCAATTCCATTTTGATAATGAAAACCTATATTAGTTTGTGCACCTAAATTTCCTTCTTCAGCAGCTTTCATATACCATTCGAATAATTTCTTAGTGTCATCAACATTAATTTCCTTAGTCATTTGAGGTTCTGATATACCAATTGGCTTGCTATTAGGATGTAAATTTAAAAATGATTTTAATAAATCGTTATATAATCCTTTTGGTAAGACTTTCTTATAGGGTAATACTTTATCTGAAAATTCTTTAGAAGTTAAATTATAAAATTTAATAAACGGAATACATTGTTGTAATGTATTCTTTAAAGAATTAAAATCATTCTTTGAAAAACTAGAAGGGTCTGAAGAAAGCTCAGGATTTTGTGAAAGACCCCATTTAAGAACATGTTCCCATATTTGAATTTCACTCATTTGAAGTTTATTATCTTGAATAAGCGAGACAATAAGTTTTTCCGGAGTTGCAGAAAAATCTAATGATTTGAGTATCTTATCTGGATATTTAGACATTAAATCAGTACAATATTTTTGAAGTTCCAAGAAAGAATTATTTTCAAAACTCGTTTGATATATCAAATTAAAATTTAATTCCATCCAGCCAGTTTTATTTTTAGTCAAAAAGGATTGTATATACACGACTAATTCTTTAAGACTCAATTCACAAGCAGTAACCAAGATTTTGACAATATAAATTATCATATTCCTCCAGAGTTATTCCTCCCCCATAAATACACTACCCTCCAAAAAGTATCCGGTCAAGCTCAACTTGATTTTCTCAAGATTGAATATATAAAGTATTATTTTTTTTAAAAAAAAATAATTCCCCTGGTTCTAACGATTAAAATGAATGTATTTTTATTGTGTTATGATACTTGTACCAGATTTGGCAATAAAAAAATAATAACGCCTCAATTTTTGCCAATGCTTTTTTTTTGTTACTACGCCATTCAGCTACTTTTAAAATGGGAAAAACTAGTGAATTGAGTGAGTGTGGGCAAATTATTGGCCTTTGGAAAGGACATGAAACTATCAGGATTAAAATTCTTGTATCGAACAATTGTGTCTGTAATGGTACTTTTTGGAAATTTTAGGACACGACTGGATTAACAGCTAAAAGAAGAGTGGGAAAGAATTCCATCCGAAACTTACATTAATTTAATTGAGAGCATACTACGCTGAATTGAAGCATGCATTAAAAACAATGGATGGCCAACTAAATATTAATTATTATTAATAAAATATGATTTTTATTGGTTGACCGGATACTTTTGGGAGGGTAGTGTATATCTAAAATGAAAAAAAAATTTCATAATTATAAAAGTATTTATTATAACAACTTGTTAATTCAATATTTCATTACTTGGTACCTTAAAATTATTTGAAAAATTTCAGGTAAAATACTTGTCAACTTAACTTGTACCAAAGTACCATCACTTTTCTTTTTATTAGTTGATAAAATTCTTCGTAAATAAGGAGAACGATAATTTAAAATATTCATATGGGCACGAAATATTTTAACGTAAGTGTCACTTCCAACTTCAATAGTAATATCATAATATTCATCATCATCATCTAAAATTTCAAGTAAATTTTGTGATAATTTTTTTAAAAGTTTATCGTCGTCCATTTTTTAAATTATTGTATTTTTTTCGGTAAGAAAAAAAAATACGAAATTCCCTAATTAATTCATGAATGAACTTCTTTTAAATGTTACATAAGATTAATCTGTGCATAACTGAACACAAATCTACAAGTTTAGCCGATATAATATTATGTAATCAAATAATGTTTATTAAAAAGTAATAATGGTTATACAAATAATTATTTATTTAAAATGAATAAAAAATCAAAAATAAATATATAAAAAAGAACGAACAATATTGAGCCATAAAGACGAAACAAAGTAACATGAAGACACTATATCTAATTTAGAAAATAGAATAAAGGAATTAGAAAGAAAGAAACGAGTAATGGAAACAAAAGGTCTGGTAAGATCGCCGATGTCCAATGATTACTTGGCTAAACATTTTTCCGATACTCCACGTGACCTAAATCAAGGAAAGTGGGAATATGTGGAAAGATTAGCTAGCGACAAACGAAACTTCAAATATAAAACTGCCCAGACCAAAATCCGCTTAACAAAGACATGGAATCAATTTTCATGAGGTAGATCTAATATAACGATAACAAAAAATGGACGTTTATATTTATTTATAATGTTTGACGCCAAGTGTTCGATATAAGAAAAGAAGCACGTTAAGAGAGAAAGATAACGAGAAACAGGATTATACAATCATTAAGGATCACATAAGAGAATTCGCAAAATAGGGTTGCGACGTAACACAGGTGCGATAAAAACAAAACCCTTTATTATTAACCATTTTTAAATAATTCTTCTGTGAAAAAATACGGAAATTTCATAATAATAATGAATGAACCTTTTTTTAAAGGTATTCGGACTTGTTGTCGAAGTCCACCTCAATGAAACCATTTCACCAAAGCAATTTGCCGAAGTATGTTTCACCGAAGTGGAATGCCATTTTTCCTAAATGGACAATTTATCGAAACTCATTTACCAACCCAGTAAAAAGTCCTGTACTGAATTCATATTAGGTTTGTATTGAATTTATACATGAGCCTGTTTGGTACGAAAATTGGACCATAAATGGGATAAAATTAAAATAAATATGGCCAAATTTTATACCGAATGGGCTCATTTCATAATTGGCCTATATTTGGTACAAGAACTTTTTACTGGGCAAAGGACATCTTGCGCTGAAGCCAGGACATTTCTCCGAGGACATGGAATTTTTTAATTTTCCTTTTAAACGAATAATTTACAAATTATGAGTCGTGATTGTTTATTTTTTTTTTTGATTTAAGGAAAATTACTAATTTTATTCAGTCTTAAGTTCAAAAAAAGATAGCAAATTCGCCATACTCATAAATTTTTGAACCATTTTTATTTTCTTTGTATCGAATCGTTAATGAATATTAATCACCAACATTTTTGGCAAAATGTCTTTCGACGAAATAGGGAAAAAGATTTGGCGAAATATCCTCCTGAAACGCCCATTCGGAGAAACTTCCCTCTGGCGAAGCATACCGTAACCATTTTTTAAGTATTACCTAAGCTTTGATCTTCCATTTATATATTCATATTTCTCGACAAACATTTTCCCTGTGTTTATCCGGGCCAAATTTATAATGACTATCTGAACTCCTCATGAAGAAAACTGGTAGTACGATAATTACGGTAATTAAATATTAATTTCCTTTATTATGTAAACAAATATCAATTATTAAAGTACTAATAATGGATATACAATAATTATTTATTTAAAATGAGTAAAAATTAATAAATAAATGGATAAATATATAAATATATAAATAAATAATTGGCGGATTTACATATGATAAAAATAACTAAATAAACTTTACAAATATCCTTGTTGCGTTATTAAAAGATTGTGTAAATTATCTTTAGAGTTTAAACAGCCGTTTTCTGCAGCTTTTTCATACCAATAAATAGCTTTTTCTACGTTTTTTTCAGTACCTTCACCTTGTTCATATAAAGATGCAATGCTTCTTTGTGCATCAACATTTCCTCCTTCAGCAGCAATTTTATATGAATCAAATGCTTTTTCTTTATTAATATCAATTTCAAATCCATTGTTATAAATATGTCCAAGTTTACAATAAGCATCAATAAATCCTTGTTTGGCTGATTTTTTATAAAATTCAAATGCTCTCCTTTCATTTTGACAAACGCCTTTACCCAACTCATAGCATTCGCCTAATTTATACAATGCAATTTTGTTTTCCTCTTCTGCACTCTTATGGTACCAATAATTAACTTTATCCATATCACTTATTGCGTTTTCTAAATTATTTGGTACATTTCTACCAGCTGCTTCATTAAATAATTCAAATCCTTTTTCTTTATTGACCTCCGTCCCAATACCATTTACATAGTAATACCCAAGTATAAATTTTGCGCCCACATATCCATTTTTGGATGATTCTTTATAGTATTCGAATGCTTTAGTTTCGTCTATATCCACACCATTTCCTAATTCATAACATTCAGCCAAATTATATCTTGCAAGGCTACTTCCATTTTCTGATGCTTTCTCAAGCCAATAAACAGCATTTTTTAAATTCTTTTTCGTTCCATAACCACAATTATATAAAAAGCCAAGTTTAACTTGAGATTCTAAATATCCTCCTTCGGCTGATTTTTTATAATACTCAAATGCTTTAATTTCATTTTTTTCAAAAAATTCATAATAAAAGCCTAGATTATATTGTGCCATAATGGATCCACCTTCTGCTGCTTTATTATACCAAAACATAGCCTTTTCCGGATCTTTTACTAATACTCCAATTCCATTTTGGTAATAATAACCAACATTTGTTTGTGCATTTACATTTCCTCCTTTAGCAGCTTTCAAATACCATTCAAAAGATTCATAATCGTCTTTAGATGTTCCAATTCCATTTTTATAACATTCACCTAAATTATTTTGTGCATCTACATTTCCTCCTTCAGCAGCTTTCATATACCATTTAAATGCCCTACAACTGTCATCGAGAGTTCCAATACCATTTTGATAATAATAACCTATTTTAGTTTGTGCATTTGAATCTCCTCTTTTAGCAGCTTTCAAATACCATTCAAATGATTTACTTTCATTTTTAGGTGTTCCAATTCCATTTATATAAAAATTTCCTAAAATACTTTCTACATCTAAAATTCCTCCTTTAGCAGCTTTAATATACCATTTAAATGCTTCATTGTCATCTTTGGATATTCCAATTCCATTTTGATAATAATAACCTAATCTATATTGTGCACATGAATACTCTCCTTTAGCGGATTTAAGATACCATTCAAAAGCTTTTTTGTAATCTTTATTTATCCCATTCCCGCTTTGGTAACAAACACCCAAATTATATTGTGCATATGAATCTCCATTATTAGCTGCTTTCAAGTACCATTCAAATGCTTTATTTTCATCTTTTGTAATTCCAATTCCATTTTGGTAACAATAACCTAAATTATTTTGTGCGCCAGAATTTCCTCCTTCTGCTGATTTTAAATAAAGTCCAAATGCTTTAAATATATCTTTTTTTTTACCTATTCCATATTGATAACAGTAGCCTAAATTATTTAAATCTATTGATTCTTTCTTTTTAATATAGTCTATTTGATTTTCGTTATGTTCATCGTTATCTTGTAATTCAAAATAATTTTCCATAACACTTATCTCATCTTTACATAAATTAATCATTTTTAATCCATTAAAATTTTCAAATTGATTATGTGACATTACATGATTATTTTCCAAACTTCCATATTCTTTTATAATCAAATCTCTTTTATATAAAATTATATCCTTATAATAATAAATTGATAATAAAAATTTTGAAATAATGATATTAAGTAATTGATAAATAGAAAATAATTTTTTATTTTCATCTTTTTCATATTTATCAATTGATAATTTATAATATTTAAAAGATTTATCTTTATTAATTAAATTATAATTATCTATGATACCAATATCATTATCATAAAAAAATCCTATTAAACTTGAGAACCAATTTTCATTTTCTTCATGATTTTCCATTAATTTTAAAATTTTTTCAGAATTTTTATTATTATTATCAAAAAATTCTTGTATCCATTCCGTTAAGATATTTTCAATACTAGTATAATTATCGATTTTTATAATTTGACGATAAAATTCTTTTAAAAAATCTTTTAAGAAATTTTCGTCTTCGCTTGATGAAATATTATTATTATTATTTAAAGGCATTTTTTGTTTTTTCGAGTAAAAGTTTTTTTTTTTTTTTATGAAATAATAGTTAAAATAAACAAAAATTAAAATAGTGGTGAGACTGATGTGCACCAATAAAATTACGTATTGATGTTACACTTTCCTTAAAATATACAATAATCGGGGATCATCGTAAAAGCGAATGAGGTGATACGAGTACACGACGGATCATTAAATGAATTAGTAATTAAAAGGAAATGAAAAGTCGTACGACGCAATGATTTATTTCTATTGGTATTTTACAGGAAATTTGAAGCTTTATTATTTGTTTATTCCCTATCAAAAAGTTGATTCGTGCTTATATATTCAATGTTTTATATTCTGTCGATCATTTCTGTCGATCATTTAGCAATATCATACGATATAATGAATAATATTCGAATAAAAATTATTTTTTTTTTGTTTATTTGTTTGATAATTCTTAAATTTAAATAACCATTATCCTGTTATTGAATAATTAGGGAACTTTTGTTAACTTTATTTTTAAAAATTTTTTTTTTAAAATTTTGATCTTTTATAAAATGAGGTTCTTTTTACCGCAGTAAAAATGTAAAATACTTTTTTTCCGCGTTAGCACTGACTAAAATACCCCAGGTCTGAATCAATTTACCCAATTTATAACATGGATTTATAGCAGGGGTAATGTCCATCCCAGCATATGAAATATTTAAACCTGGTTTATAATAATCGTCGAATCAAATAGATCCACATATTACAGCGTGGGACAAAAAAATTTAACATGAGATCACGTGATATATTTGCGTATCCCAGCGAACGAAAAAAAGTTAACATATTAATACAACTGTACAATATTGTAATCTGTCTCACGGTACACAGTATTTTCTCATTGGTTGTTGAATTAATATTAATTACCATCTACAGAATTCTTGTATTCTTTCATGGAATTCTTTTATTCTCTTATGGAATTCTTATACAAAAGTATATATACACTAGAAAGTCTGGAACAATTAATGAATTATTATCATAAAATTGATAAAATTGGCTTTTTAATATCAGATAAAATATCATTTAAGTAGACGGGCACAAAACTCAAAACGTAAAATAAACATGTATAAAAAATGTAATGAATGTAACAGAGAAAGAAGAGTTGTTGATAAAGGTCAACAAATTTGTCTCATTTGTTATAAAATAAAGACAATGCTTAAATCAAGCGGAAACAAAGTTATTGATGATTTTATCAGATACACTCAAAGTGATTATTCTATTATGGTAGGAGGTAAAATGGAGTTTATTCCTTATGAACAATTTAACAATATAGAATTTATTGCTGAAGGAGGATTTAGTAAAATTTATAAGGCCACTTGGGTTGATGGACCAATTGAATGGTACTTTTTTAAGCGTAGTGCTGATTATATTTTTCGTAAGAATTATTATATGGTTGCTCTAAAAAAACTTAATAATTCTAAAAATATCACCTCCAAGGAATTGAATGAGGTACAGTACATAGCATAGTACAATATTTTAATTTAATGATGATAATAAATTGATTTTTTTTTTAGCTAAAGTTATTTTATCAGATTGTTTCAAATAGTTACACAACGAGTTATGTTTGTGAATATTTTGGAATTACTCAAGAACCTGTTAACAAAGATATCATAATTGTTATGCCATATTATAATTCAGGCGATTTGATGCATTATTTAAGTAATGATTTTTATAATATTAGTTGGTTTATAAAATTATGTCGATTGTATAACATAATAGTAGGACTTAAAAATATTCATGAAGCAAAAATTATTCACAGAGATTTACACAGTGGAAATATCTTTTTTAGTAAACATTTTGCGTGTATAGGTGATCTGGGAATAAGCAAATCTGCAACTGAATTTACAGATAATAATGAGAATTATGGTATTATTCCTTATATGGCACCAGAGATTTTTCAAGGACAAAAATATACAGAAGCTTCAGATGTATATAGTTTTGGAATGATTATGTGGGAGTTTATGACAGGAAGAAGACCTTTTTGGAATGAAAATCATGATACAGAACTTATAATTAACATATGTGACGGATTAAGACCACCAATTGTTACAAATGCACCTGAAGGATATATTGAATTAATGAAAGATTGCTGGCATTCCGATCCGAAGAAAAGACCATCAGCTATTGTTATATATTGGAAGCTTAATAAAATGCGGGATACGGAACGGAAAAATACTGCGACTAAAATTATGGAATCATCAGATATTGGGCCTGTAACGATAAATAATCCAGGTGCTATTTATAAGAGTAGACCTTTAAGTCATTTGATTCAATCTGCAATGTCTTTAAGGAGTTTAAGAAATCAAGCTATCGGTAAGTAATTTTGTGATACTATCAATACACTTGTAATAAAAATTTAAAGCTTTTATTATTTTGAAACAATTATTTAGATCCATTTTATTATTATTGTATGGAAAATAATGAATCATTTACTGGTAATTATTTGGTTATCATTGCTAATATATTATTTATGTAGTATTTTTGATCGCTATTAATTATTATTATTTATTTTAATGCTAAAGATAAAAGAAAGTTTGAAGTTGATTTAGTTGACAAAAATAATAATAAAGACAATGGTACGAAAATTAAACCTTATAAAATTAGCTATTTTTATTATCGCTTAATAGGTTAAATTTTTAAGCTTTAATAAACTCAATAAATAATGAAAGCTTATTTACAATATTTTTTTAAAAAATTATTTAGGCCAAAGTATTAAAAGAAGAAAATTTTTTGGAGAAATAAATAATGGTAAATAAAATTTAATTTAAACAGTCAACATAATTATTTCATAGTTTTAATTAATTAAATCTATTTATTTTTTTTTAGATTACTTTACGAAAGAAATTGAATTAGATATTAATATTAATTCTAATCAACCTAATAATAATGGTAAGTAAATATATTTTTATAAAAATAAGTTAATAATATTTTATCATAAATTTATCTATTTTCTTTAATTCAATAACAGGATATATTAGTTATATTACCAAGGAAATTGAACTTGATATCAACGCTCTTTAAATTATAAATTTTTAAAGCCAATTATATTATATACATATATGAATTATTTTACTGATACCATTATATAAGACAAAATACAAATATTTTTTAAATTTGAATCGTGTATTTTATTATCGACTTAATTATTTTTGATTTTTGTATCACGAACTGAGTGAGCTAAATAATATTTGAGTTTATACATGCAAAAAGAAATACATAAGAAAAATTAAAATTGAACAATGAAAGTTACAAAGTCAAAAAAAATTTCAAATTTTATTGTCGTTTGATATCATACAAAAAATAGTCAATTTGTAAAAAAAAAAATGGTTAAAAAATAATTCAAGCGTGAAAACGGGACAAATTCTTATTCCTTGTCATTTAGGTGGTCACATATACTTCGAGGTTTTGTCTGAAAATGGTTTAATGTATAACTGTATATGTTAAGTTCTTACAAAAAAAAACTAGAAATAATTTTTTTTTCATGGAAAAATTTGAATTTGATACGTCTTTCAAAGTAAAATATTGAATTTTTTTTTTCAAGACATTTTTTCAATTTTCAAGCTCAGATATAATCGCATGAAGGAGATTTGAGGAATTAATTTTTGGAACATAATTATTTTTCATTCATATACTCGTAATTAATCAACATTGTAAATATTGTCTTTGAACGCTTTGTAGTTATTTGCAATAAGTAAAATGGATATAATCGATTAATCGATATCGGAATTGACCTTAATTATCCATTAATTATCCATTAATTAATGACAAAAGCTTAAAACCTGTCACGGATGAATCAACTAAAAGCTCTATTTGAGTATAGTTTAAAATTAGCTAGATCATTTATTTTGTAGTATTGTATTTATTCTTAAAAAATAGAAAAATTAGTATTATTTATTTCATGGGGAGTTGGAAATAATAGGGTAATCCCCTGGAGCGTGTCACTCATTAAATATTAACTATTTTAACTATTTTAAACTAAAATTAGTAATTTCCCGGCTATCTATATATGAGACCGGGAAATAACTAAACGAAGATTCCCGGTCATTTATAAACTCAGCTAATCACTCGCAATTTTTAAAAATTAGTATGAAGGTGATCATGAGTGACACTTAGTGCGACAGGGGATTATGTAACTTATGTTAAAATCATATTAAAATAAAGCTTTAACTAATTCTAATGATACTAAAATAAACATATTTATTTAATAATGAGTTAAGAAAATCATAAAAAGTTTTCCTATTCTCTCAGATTTTTTAATAATAAAAAACTTTAAAATCGATGATAAAATTTTTATTAATACTTAAATTTCTTTAAGAGAAAAATAAAATTATACCAAATTTTGGCTAAAGTCCAAAACCTTATAATTTACAACTTTACCGCATGTTAAAAACTTGAAAATAAAAAAGTAGTTACTATTTAGTATGTAAGTAGCATGAAATTGTCATCTTACCAAAAGCCCATTAAAATCCTAAAAATACATTAGATTTCGTGTCATTTGTATTTATGGAATATGTTGTTATTTCAGAGTACAAAGTTTTTTTTTAAAAAAAAAAATAGGTCGGCATTAAGATAATCACATTAATAGTGTGTTGTGAAACAAATGTCACGTTTTAAAATTTTATGAATCCTTAATTTTGGCCGATCCTGTAATATGATTGATTCGAATTATTGAATTATCATTGCTTTAATTAGATGAAAGACGTACGTCATTATTTATTTCGTACTACGTATCAGTCGTATCATACTACAATGATGATTTGCAACTATAATTTCCCGATTCAGAAAACCAATATTTAAAGTTAATCCCAATTGCTAGTTGTAAATTTTTTTTTTTTTTCCAGAAAAAAAAAAATAATTATAATGGAAGATAATAATTTTTTATCAAAATTATCACAAAATTTACTTGAAATTTTGGACGATGAAGAATATTATGATATTACAATTGAAGTTGGTAATGACCCTAACGTAAAAATATTTAGAGCTCATATGGTTATTCTAAATTATCGTTCTCCTTATTTGAGAAGAATTTTATCAACAAATAAAAAGAAGAATGATGGAACTTTGGCCCATATTAAATTACCAAATATTTCACCAGAAATTTTTCAAACAATCTTAAGGTTAGAAAAAATTTTATTTTATAAATATAATTGTCAATTTTTATTAAATATTATTATTTTTTTTTTAGATATATTTATGGAGGAAATCTTTCTATGGAGGAATATGATACTTCTGATATTATTAAAATCTTGTTTGCTGCTAATGAACTTAGCCTTCAAGAATTAATTAAATATTTACAATCTTCTTTGATTAAAAATAATGTTAACTGGATTGGGCAGAATTTTAATATGATTTATCAAATGAGCTTTGAAAATAATTCTTTTCTCGAACTTCAAAAGTACTGTACTGACTTAATAACTAAAGAGTCAGATAAGATATTCAAATCATTGGATTTTTCTGATATTTCAGAAAAACTTATTATTTCACTTATTCAAAACGATAATCTTCAAATAAGTGAAGTTCAAGTATGGGAAAATGTTATTAAATGGGGATTAGCTCAAAATCCGGAACTTTCCTCTGATCCCGCAAGTTTATCAAAAGATGATTTCAATGTATTAAAGAATACTTTACAACAATGCATTCCTTTTATTAAATTTTATAATTTAACTTCTAAAGAATTTTCAGATAAAGTTTTACCTTACAAGGAAATTCTATCTGAGGAATTATTTATGGATTTATTAAAAACTTTTTTAAATTTGCATCCTGATAGCAAGCCCATTGATAAATTAAAACATTATAATTCTAATAAATTAAAATATATTGATTCAAAAATCATCACATTTCAACACATTGAATTAATCTCAAAATGGATCGATAAATTAGATATTAAAGATAAGCTGACCTCATCATATGAATTCAAATTAATACTTCGTGGGTCTCGTGATGGGCTTACATCCAATAAATTCCATGAAATCTGTGATAATCAGTCTAATACTTTAACGGTCATTAAAGTTAAGGGCAGTGACGAAATTCTTGGAGGATATAATCCAGTAGAATGGAAATTTCAAGACTATAAGAGTTCATATAATATCACTAAGGATAGCTTTATATTCTCTTTTGAGAATGTTGATAATATCGAAAGACATATCTTAAGTCGTGTAAAGGATGAAAAAACTGCTATATTTAGTGTCAAATATTTTGGTCCATTATTTGGTTCTAATGGTGATGACCTTACCACAAATGGAAAATCGGGTTATTGTAAAGTAAAATCTTATGAAAAACAAATCAGAAAAACTACAGATAATTTTTCTGTAGAAGAATATGAAGTCTTTCAAATTATAAAATGACAATTTTTTTTGTATTCATATAAATTTAAAAAATGATATTTCATATCATTAAATACAATAAATAAATAAAGAAAAGTTTATGTAAGAATCATACGAGTAAAGTGAAATATAAATATTGTAAAAAGTTTTCTAATTTTCATTTTTAACAAAAGGAAGAGCAATATGAATCATCATAGAATTAAAAAGTATAAAACTATATAAATTAAATTATATTAATTACATTATGAATTTATAATAATGTACTATCCCTGTAGTATCCCAGATGTATTACTAAATTAGTTGATAAATTAATAGCCCAAAGCTTATAAATTAAGTTGACGCGAATTATTTTCCTATTGTTATATTGTTACCTGTATCGTTTTCCTAACTAATAAGTAATAATGTTATTCTCAATTTATTAAACAAGTGAATAAGAGCTAAAAGTCACGTAAAAATGAAAATAGATCGCAAAACCAGCCAATCATCTATTAAAGGTTGGTTAGGCTTTTTTTTTATCCAAATGACCAAATTATGTTTCAATTAAATATTAAACGGTCTTTAACATTCCATACTATTCAAAACTGGCACATTTTTAGCTAAGTTATTTCTTGCACTAAAGTAAAAGGCTAAGATAAATGAACGATTGTCAACTTTTGTTTGCATATTGATTTCATATATTTCGCATTTTTATAATGCTAAAATATAATACTACATACCTATGTATTAATCATTAATAATAAATAATTGAAAGGGTTATTGCGATTATCTAGCTAAAGCAAGATGGTAAAGTAGCACCCATCTAACAGCTTTGAGTGTAGTTTTAAATAGAAGAAATTATGATTAACATTTATTATTATTTTATTGACTCGCTTCAAAACATTTTAAGGGATAAAAGAACAAATAATCTTTATTAGAATATAAATATATAGATTGACAATTCTAAGCTAATAATACATAAATAAATACAACAAGATAACTAACAATTAAATAAAGTCACAGAAAACGCCACTTTGCCGACGATATTACCTAATAAAGAGAAAACTTAGTTAGTACAACAATTAACATATAAACAGATTAGACCAAACCAATCTGTATATTTCCAACAGATTTTATATCAAGATTGAAAGATTTTCTTATAAACACTCCTTTCCATATTTTTAACCATAATTTTAATTGGAGTGGCTTTAAATACCTTGATTCGGATCAAAGAACACGCATTCCAGATCATTCTTTCCATTTTTTCTACAAATACAGGCTTCATTTTCGCAAGATTTAAGATACTTTGCTTTGATCTCATTGAATTTTTGTTTCAATAAAATTGGTCCACAATTATTTTCTCCTGTTGAAAGTAAACTAATATATTTTGGCATCAAAGATGTGCAATTTGATTTTAAAGAATTTAATTCAGTCGCTTTTAATGAATTATGTTTTTTCAATCTAAATTTAAGACACTCAAAAGGTAATGTCCCATAAGCATTAGAAGTTGGGAAATTTGAGATGATAAGTGTATAAAAGGTAAAAGTGGGCAAATTAACATAATTATTATCATTCAAACTGTATGAAAATGTGTATCTTCCTATTTTATTTTTTTCTTGAACCTTGAAAAAATGATGTCCAATAACAAGTGAGTTATTTGAAAAACTAAAGTTATTTAATACAGGAATTCCAAAACAAAGGATATCCGAATCATGCTCGAAATCTAAGACTTTTTTATTATCTTTAGATGGTGTACTGGTTAATGCTTCAAATTGATCTTCTAGTACTTCTAGTTGAATATTAAAATCTGAAAGAATGAAATTGAAATTTATATCATAACCAATAATCATCCAATTAACTTTCAAATTGTATTTATGTTTTTTGGGTCCTTTAAAACAATGAATTATTATGCGTGGATGTTCATTTTTATCTGACGGATATTGAATTCTCCAACTAAAAATAACATTTTTTGTTTCTCCTGTATCAACAACAGTTGCAAAGATGTTGCATTTAGCTCTTTCATCTTGAAGTATTTTTGAAATATATTGTGGAATATTTCTTAATTCGAATATTCCTATTTTACCACTCGTATAATTAAAATCAAAATCTTCTGTCTTCAAGTAAAGAATTTTTTTTCCGACTGATAAATAGATACTCTCACGCAAATTATCAGGTAAGAGTTGGAAAATGCTAGTCGGATTTTTGTATTTTACACAATCCCATTTACTATAATCATCCAAAGATTGAGCCCAATCCTTTTCATTAAATTCAAAATTAGAATCCCCTCCAAGTAATTTAAAAAATTCATATTCGAAACTACTAGAATTTCCTTTTGAGTATATTAAAGTATTCTCTACCTTGATTTTTGATGTTCCAGCACCTGCACTCATAGCAGCCTTATTAGCATCTTCTTTAGAATTTTCCGCAAAATTTTTTGACTCTTCAAAATAAGCTCTTCCGCCCAAATTAACTTCCGTTGAAATGAATTGACCAAACTTCTCAGTAATTTTCTTAAATTCCTTAGATTTAATAGCTTCTTCTACTTCTTTTATAAATTCTTCTTTTGGCTCCAATTTATTTAATTTTAAAGATATTTTATTAAGCTCTATGAATTTACAAGTTGAGTTGATCTCTAATTTAGATTTTTCATTCTTTGACCTCCCAAATGATATCCCTAATTTTACAAAATCCTGTACATCAGCGTCTGCAGTAAGAAACAAGTTTGTTTTCATCATTTTATCATCACTCGAACTATATTTAAAGTTTCCTACCCGATAACCATTAGCACCAAATTTTTCCATTTCACAACTCTTTAATTCAAATGCTCTATGATCGGCAATCTCAAATCCATCTAATGTTACAATACGTCCAAAATCTAATTTACGGTTTTCATTTAAAGTTTTCCAATCAGGTTCTAAACTTTTTGTTAAATATAAAGTTTCATCACTTATAATACCATTTAAAGTATAATCATTTTCATCATCTCTTGGTATTTCAACCAACATGTTATTTTTATTTTTTGCAAATAATAATGTATCATCCATTACAGTTTTTTCTTTTAATGTATTACGAATTTCTGATAAATTTTTAGTACGACCTAGCTTAGAAACTAATATACATTTCGATGGTGATTCGGCCGATTCGCCAATTTGAACTTTTACGTCAACTTTATTAAGCCAATCAAGATTAAGAAATTCCATTTTAAAAATTATACATAGAAGAAAAAAATTGTAAACATATAAATATTAGTTAGTTCCAATTGAAACGTAACGCAAAATATTGTACATTAATAACAGATACACGTACAAGTGGCGCAAATGTTAATGTATCAAAATTCCGTGTCGTACAATATTTACTATAAATAGTACTTTAAACGTGGTAGTACAGGTGACATATAATGCGGTCCAATAAAAAACGTAAACATGTAATCACGTGACAATATGACAAAAACACCACAGGGTAGTGTGGTAAGATTTTCCCATATTATAAGACGCACAATAGTCATACAATATAGCGCGAAAAGAATTTTCTTTATTTTTTTATTGTAGCTTATACCTATAAATAATAAGATAATGGATCTTTCAAATGTTGTAGAACTTGATATTAATTATATTGATGTAAGTAACGTAGCCATTTTGATTAATAAATTAATTTTCTTAACGTTTCTTCAATTAAAAGAATATGCAATGATAACAGATAAAGGAAAAAAACTTTCGAATTACTTTAAAATAATGTTATGCGATACTACATGTAAGTATATATTGGTATTACAAAACATAATTGGAGCTATTAAAGAAATTGCGAAATATAATAAACTAAATTTTATTGATACTATGAATAATAATAGAAAATCGTACATATTATGAATTTTTTATTTTTTTTATTTTTTTTTTTATTTATAGTAATTTATTAGATAAATAATGAAAAAACAAAACTATGATGAAATTGACGAACGGTATTTCCATTCTCAGTTTAAATGAAGGAATATTTGGAAATTCCGATGATCAAGAATGTAATTGTGTAATTGTGTATAAATTGTGTAATTGTGTACAAATTGTGTAATTTGTGTAATTCGGATCAGCCAATTTAACCTATTTACATAATTTATTACACACATATATAAATAATATATTCATATATTTTTTTTTTTTAAAAAAAAAATTGGTTAAAAATGTCGAAAGATTTAAATTATTACATTGAATGGTTGGAAAATTCAATTTATAATAAAAATATTATATATTTTGATTATTTGAATTTCACAAATGTAAAGCTAATAGGAAATGGTTCATATGGAAATATCTTTTGTGCGAACTGGGAAAATAATGACACTATTTTTGCTTTGAAAACTTTCAATAATCAAATCTCAATTCTTAAGGAAGTAGTCAAAGAGGTAAAAGAAATTTATAGCTTCTTTTTATGAATGCTTCGCATTTAATCTATTATTTAAATTATATTGATATACTTTTACACATCATAGTTAAAATTACGTCAGCTTATTAACTTTCATGAAAATATATTAGAGTTCTATGGAATTACAAGGATAGAAACTGGTAAGAATAAGTAGATGATAATATATTGTATTTATTTTGAAAAAATAAACTAACTTTTTTTTTTGTTCAGAATTAATGACAAAATATTCTTTAGTTATGGAATATGCTGATGGCGGTACGTTAAATACCTTTTTAAAAGAGCATTTTAATGAGCTTGAATGGGATGATAAATTTAATTTGGCATTGCAATTGACGAGTGCAATATTATATTTGCATGAAAATGGGATAATTCATCGTAATTTGGTAAGATTATCATATTTTACAATTATTTGTTACGATATCATAATTTAATTGATAATTTAACTTTGCTTTTTTAACGCGAATGAAGCATACAGATAATATATTTGTACACCAGAAAAAAATCAAGTTGGCTGATTTTGGTTTGTCGAAGAGAATTTCTGAAGCATCAAATAATACATCAAAAATGGTTGACGTGATACCTTATGTGGATCCGAAAAGCCTTAACAAATACATTGATAATGATCAAAATGAAAATTATAAATTAAACGAAAAATCTGATATTTATAGCATTGGGGTTATTATGTGGCAGATTTCAAGTGGATTTCGACCATTTTACTCTGAAGGTGTAAAATACGATATGACATTAGCATTGGAAATACAAGAAGGGAATAGAGAAGGTATAATCGAGGGCACCCCTCTTTGGTACAGCGATCTATACAAAAGTAAGTTAATATTGTTATTTTATTTATATAATTTTCTTTTAAAAACAAAGAAAAAAAGGAGTAAAGAATATTTTACTATTTTTTATTCAATAGGATGTTGGAAAAGTGAACCAGATGAGCGCCCAAATATACAGGATGTTGTCTCAACTCTTCGAACAATTCCTAAAGAAAATGAATGGATTAACTGGATAGAAGAAACAATTGCTAATAAACACATCAAATATTATGAATACAAATACTTCAGTGAAATTCAAGAAATTGGTATTGGCGGATTTGCTAAAGTTTATCGTGCAAGATGGAAAATGACAGGAAAATATTTTGCTCTAAAGACTTTCTATAATTTTGAAAAAATTAGTGTCAAGGAAATCGTCAATGAGGTAATTACAAGATATATATTTATGAAATTTTTTGGATTATTTTTTTAATTGATATTATAATTATAATTTAGATTGAAATTCATCGTGAAGTTGATTATCATGATAATATTATAAGATTCTATGGAATTACAAAGCCTGAGCTGGGTATGATAATTATTAAACTACTAAATTTAATTAATGTCTCCAAATTTCAACCATATATTCTTTTTATTTTTGCATAATAGATAATCAAAGTGATCAAATGAAAAAATATTATTTAGTCTTTGAATACGCTGATGGTGGATCGCTTCGCCATTATTTAAAAAATAATTTCAAGGATCTTAGTTGGCACGATAAAATTTCTTTTGCTTATCAATTATCTAGTGCTGTTTCATGTTTACACGAAGAAGGAATTGTTCATTGCGACTTGGTAATAGATATAACATATTGTTAAGAAAATTGTCCTATACACTGTATTTAATATCTTATTAATAACTTTATATTTATTGTAGCATTCAAAAAACGTTTTAATTAAACAAAATACAATTAAGCTAGCCGATTTTGGATTATCCAAAAGAATTGACGCATCATATGACACTACAGAACTATATGGCGTGCTTCCCTATTTAGATCCGAAGAGATTTAAACGAAGAAAACCTGATAATGTAATGCAAGATTACATATTGAATGACAAAACTGATGTATACAGCGTTGGGGTGTTATTATGGGAAATCTCAAGCGGTAAACCACCTTTTTATGCTGATAATAAAGCTGAATTAGAGTTCAAAATTTCAGAGGGTTTACGAGAAATACCTGTTCCGGACACACCAAATGATTATGTCAAGCTTTATACAGGTAAAATTTTTTATTATTATGGTTTGCTATTCATTAATGCAATAGTAATTCTCATGATTATTTTATTTATTCTTTAGAATGTTGGGATGGTGAACCAGATAACAGACCGACTATGAATCAAGTAGTTGATAGGTTAAACCCAATTATGTCTCGACAAAATATACTAGTAAAGTCTAATAATGGTAAAATTTATAATTATTATTGTTTTCATTCATTAATGTAAAAGTAATTCTAGTAATCCTTGTTTATTTATTTATTCCTTAGTATGTTTGAAGAGTGTATTTGATAGGTTAAAAACAAATGAGTTTCCAAATTTCCACATTACAGGTAAATAAGAGTTTTAATTTTCATCTGAATAAATTAATTGGTTATAACAATATAACTTTTTTTTTATAGATTCATGGAATCATAAAGCAGATGATCATATTGAACCAACTAGGAATCTAACAAAAACAATTCCAACATCTCATGAAAATACATTAAGTAATCAAGAATTTACAGCTGAACAATCACAAACATTATTAGTTGATAATACATATACTATCGTTTCAGATTTAGTAAAATTATTTGTACGTATAACAAATGAAGGAAAATCTTGTGATCAACGCAACCTAATTCTCCATGATTACTTATCATCATACAATGTCACCAATGAAACAATTTATGAATGGTTAAGCAATAATTATGAGACAAGCTTGGATAATATGTTTTTTATGGGATATTTAAATTTTTCAGGATTTGGCACAATTGATAATGCAATTAACATTGATAATGCAATTAAGTATTTTAAGTCTGCATCACTACAAGAGCATCCTGCTGCTCAATATTATTTAGGAATTTGTTTTGAAAATGGTTTCGGAGTTAATAAGATTGAATCAATTGCGCTTTATTGGTATAAAAAAGCAGCAGATAATAATTTTGCAATTGCACAATACTCTATCGGAAATATTTATCAATTTGGAACTTTTGACAATAGAGATTATAATTTAGCCTTTTATTATTATAATTTAAGTGCATATAATGAATGTTCTTTTGGTTTATATATGTTAGGTTATTGTTATTTAAAAGGTATTGGAATATCTGTTGATGAAAAAATGGCTTTTAATTTATTTTTAAAAGCCGCTAATATGGAGAATAAAGTTGCTCAGTATAATGTTGCAATTTGTTTTGATGATGGTATTTGTGCAATAAAAGATTTTGACATGGCTCTACAGTGGTATAAAAGATCTGCAGATAATGGTTATGATAGAGCTATAGAAAGATTAAATGAATTAAATGAATTATACAAAGACTCACTTTTAGGATATAAAGAAAAGAAAATCGGTAAGTTAATTAATTAATTGTTTATATAATTTAGAAAGAAAATTTTCATTAATTATATCTTATCATAAAAATAGAGAACGTTTCATCAAGTAAACAAGAATTAATACAACGGTGGAAATTAAACCATGGTTTATTGTTGGATGGATGTATACAACCAAGTAAAGAAGCTATTGTTGTTAATAATGGTGATTTGATTGCAAATTTATATAATGGAGAGCCTATAGTTTACACCAATATAAATTATCCTAATTCTTCTATGAATTTGCTTACTTTTATGAATAACGCTAATACTGACTCTAATCTAATGCAGCCTTCTGATGTTTGTATTAATTTTCCAGTTGCTGAAATTACATACAAGGCTGACATATCAGAATTATTTTCAACTTATGCATTTGAGAAATTTGAAGAACTTGATTCAGAAACCAATTCAGATGATATAAAATTGTATAGCCTGTTTGGTCATCTTTATACAAATGAATTTATAGCTGGTGGACAGTTATTTATTAAAGATTTCAATTTAGCTACTCCAAAACAAATTGATATTTTGAAATTTTATTTAATTTGGGCATATAATTCATCCAAAAATAACAATGAATTTCCATTCCATAATGGATTTTTTGATATGCATTTTTTACCAAGAATAGAAACTTCTAATGGTGTAATATTGGATACTCCCAAAAAATTGTATAATTGGCTAAAAAGATTATATCAAGATACAATAATAGATATAATTTCATATAAAAATTTTTGTTCTGTTTTTCAATTAAAAATGATGTCAATTAACTTTTTTAAGGAATCAATAAGTAGTACACCTGAATTAGAATTTGTTTCTCAATTAAAAAAAGAGTCGGATAATTTCATTTCTCAATTAAAAAAGATGCCAGCAGATAGTATAAATGAAAAGCATTCCGGAATTGATAGCTATAAAGAGAGATTAAGCTTAAAAGAATGGATTAATAATGGAATATACATTGATTTAGTAAAATGGATTAAAAGATTTCATTTGCTTCAGGGTTTAATAATTAGTAATTCATATATAATTAAAAATAGTAAAAAGATTGCTGTTGTATTTACTGAAATTCCTAAAGTAATCCTAAGTGATAAATCTTATTTTGAAATATTAAATCCAATAACAGAATTGGAAAATAATTTAATATCCAATAATATTTTTTCTGTTAAAAATATTGAATCCTTTCCATTTATTAAGACTAATGATAATTTTAGTGATAAGAATAATATTCACTTAATAATCAAATGTGAACAATATGAAATAATTATAAATAAGGACTGTATAAAACCTTCAGATGAATTTAATAATTCTTTAGAAAAAGCACTTAGTAGTATGAAACCATTAAATGATTTACAAGATTTATTTAATGAATATGGTCATTTATTCCCCTTAAAAACTATTCTGGGAAAATCACTTAAAAATATTACCACCAGTACTTTTTTTGGTACTTTTGAAAAGATTAATTTAAAATTGCCAACGTCTATTGGATCTTTACATTCGTATTTAGAGAATTTGGATATTTCATATCTTATAACACAAAAAGGAAATGTTATTAAAAAAAATAATCTAGATGAATGGATTCAAAATGCAAATGCAAATAAGGAGTTAGATATTGTTGAAATGAATGAAGTAATTTCCTTTTATGATATTCTTAACTTGGAACAAAAGAGAAAAATTGACATTGCATTAAATAATAATAATCAAGATAATTATAAAATCATAATGACAGGAATTAAGAAACTAAAGGATTTAAATAATATTAATACTGAACACTATAAGCGAATAAATATAGATCCGCCATTAAAAAATGAAAATTATGAAGTATTTGGGTCAATTGTTGCAGAAAATAATTTGAAGATAAATGGGTTTATAAAGTTTGGATTATATGATGTTAATGGATTTTCTGCCATAATAGATACATCAAATAATGAAAATATCAATATTTCAGAATGTTATATTTTATGGATTATTATTGGAAATCCTTTAAAATTATCAGTTTATAGTCCAAATAATCGAGAATTTCAAGTCGATCACATCAAAGAATCTATTACCTTAAAACCTAATGAGTCAACTTACAGCGTTAAAACTTCGTTTCCTTTATCTCGAGAATACACTGTGCTTATTAATGCAAATTTCTCAATGACAGATTATGAATACAACATAATTAAATTAACTGGATGGTCATATAATTCCATTGATATTGAAATAAAATCAACATATGAGAATCCAATTATAGATTTACATATCTGTATATTACATTCGGATTGCAAAAGTTTAAAATTGATAACATGCAAATGAATTGTTTGCTAGATTCATTTGGATATGTTTTAACTGAAAAAAATTTGAATAAAGACTTATTCTATAGGATTGATAAATTTGATGATATCAAAAATGTTGTTAAACAATCCTTCATGGATGATGATGTTAAAGTGCTAATTTCAAAAGGTAATTTTTCTTGTATATAACAGATAGTTAACTTATTCCTATCAATATAACTATATTAACTTTATCTCATGAATTTTCAAGCTGAAAAAGTTGTGCCTATATCAGGTAAAATAAACTTGTTTACAAATTTATTAGGAACCCGAGTAATAGATCAGAATTATGATCTGCACGTTATATTTGTTCATTCTAATCTATATTGTTACCTTTATTTGTATTGCTCGCTAATTTATTTAATTAATTCATTCTTTTAATACTAAAATAACTTGCCTAATTATTATTATGAATTTCAAAAACTGAAAATAATTTTATATCAGGTAAAAATAAAAATATTAGTCTTAGTTTTATCAACAATTTTAATTTTGAATCATGTTTCATCACAGAGATTGAACCTGCTCTTACCAAATTCTATGATAATAGTGGTAACTATTTATATATTTGTATAACATTTACTATAGTATATAGACTAACTTTATTTAACGTTAAACTAAATATATTTTAGCAGAATGTTTGGACTGTGCGATCTGAACTACTAGTTCAATATAATTTTAAGAGTAACGCACTTTTTCAATGATTATTCCTATTATTTCGCTTTCATACCAAGCTCAGAGAAAACTTTGAATACTTAGGTATAAACAACTTTGTGACTGGGAAATGTCTTAGAGCATTACAATGAAATATAAAAGATAATCACGGCAACCTACATCTTACCCTCCCGTTACAGCTTACGAAAATATAAGTAAACAAGAATGGTTATTTAGGACTCCGAAATATATATAAAAAGGTAATGTTAAGCCAGTTCTTTATCGTTTACAAACGTAAACAAAAGGAGAAGGGTAAGCTATGTGTGTACAATCAATAAATAAACTCTATGTAAAAATACTTAATAAACAATCCAATCAGACGTGTAGTATAGCACTTTANGGGTAAGCTATGTGTGTACAATCAATAAATAAACTCTATGTAAAAATACTTAATAAACAATCCAATCAGACGTGTAGTATAGCACTTTACGTCGGCATATACTCACAACACGAATAAAGGATTAAACAAAAATCATATTTACTTTTACACTTAAACAATGTGCACCAAACAATAGTTTATTTATTATATTCAAAAAAACCCTCTTTTATTAGAAAACTCCATTGAACTTACTTTCGTTCTGCTACAAATGCTTCACTATTTATAATTATTTTACTCTAATTAATTAGATCTAACATATAATACATAGTTACTATGTTGACATATTGGACATGTTTGACATATTTAACATATCAAACATTTGAAACATTTGAAACATTGATCGTCATCTCGTGAATTTTGGTCACGTGATCGATCGATCGCTACAGTAAGGTGACCTTCAAACTTTTTACTATTAGCTGTACAACGGTTTTCTATAAAGTTCAGTACGTAAAATTACCTCCTTACTTTGGATAATTGGAAAAAATACGCAAATTAATTTCTTAACCACCGATCATCATGTAATTTACCTATTGTTTTAATAGAAGAATAATTTTTTTATAATTAAATGCACAAGCATTACACATTTTTTTGCACCAAATAAAGTTTTTTGCACTAATAGTTATTTATATTTATTTTTATTTATCTCAATGAAATATATATATTTACATATATGATCTAAAAATACGCAAAATAAACCTTTATTTAAACAAAAAACCTGTTAAAAATATGCATTTTAATAGTCTGACCATGGCTAAAAAATCCTTAGGTTGCAAATCAATACCTAACCCCGTAAATTTCTCTATGCTGGCGATACAATTATGCACCTTACTATATTTCGGGGTCCTGGTTATTTATTGTCCGAAGCGTTTTCAACGATTCCAAGATCTTCAAAAGAACATGAAGAGTTAGACAATTTGAACAACAATTTTAAAGAAAGATTAGAAGAATTAAAAACGACAACAGACATGTCACAAAAAAAAGGAAAAAAGAAAGTAACAGATTTATCGGACGATGATGATGAAGAACAGAAAAATGAAAACAAAAAGCGTGTAGTGCGAAAGCAGGGAGAAAGGGAAAATTCTGATACAGAATGAACAAATTATCCCAAAAAATTTTAACAATCTTGAAAATTTATTTTTAGAAGAACAATACTGGAATTTGATCGAGTTTTTAACTACTTGACAACAGAGAGCTTGTTCAAGAGAAAACATTGATAATTTCTGCGATAGTATAGTTTTTCTTTCTTTTAATTTCGAGACAGAATTTTATTTTGCTTTATTTTTATCGCTTTTAATGTAGTTTAAATCATTTAGTTTTTATTTGAATTATCTTCACAATTAATTTGATTGATTTTAAAATAGTAAAGCCTCAAAACATATAAAATAGCAAAAAAACCAAAAAAACATCGTAAAACACTAGAACAGTAGCGTAGTTGGAAACAATATAATTATAGAATCGAACACAATGTATTAGTTTAGATTTTATATTTTTTTTTTAGTTATAGTTAGATAAATACTCAGTTATAGGGTTTAGAAAGTTTTTGAACTTTCTTTGCTCTAGGTGCTTTTGTATGTGATTTATCAGATTTATTTTAAATCGAGGTCAATTAATAAAGCGCGTTACTGTTTAAAAAAAAAAAAAAAAAAAAAAAAAAAAAAAAAAAATTGTCTGAAGCGTTAGCGGAGGACATTAATGGTTAGACACATTGTAATGCAAGGTATGTCTGTCCGTACGCGTGATTAACCAATAAGATGTATTATTGATTATTATCACGTGATCAGATTTTCGGTGATGCGCCTGACGCGTGATTTTAAATGAGTGCTTCGGACATTACAACGGATCCCGTTACCTAGTTAATACTTTAAATCAAAAAAATTTCAAACTAACCATTTTATCAAAAGAAATTCAATGAATTTAGAAAATTTTTAATTGCTAATTTTACATTCCAAAAAATTAAATTCAAACACATAAAGAAATAGCTATTATTATTCATGAGATTGTATTCTTCTACCGTTTATTTTTTTTATTTAGTTGTATAGTTATTTAAATATTTATAGAAATAAAAATCTTTACATTAGTATTTATGCTGCAACAATTAGAATGCCACTTGTTATAATAGTACACGAAAAAAAATATATTGGTAATTAAATAATCATACAATAATTGGATAGTCATCTTAACTGCCTTCTTAGTGATATTCTAACATGCACCTATCCACTACCTATCCAATTACTAATATTTAATTAATTAAGATTTCTCGTTGGTTAAGCCTCTATGGTAATGGTTATGGTATTCATAGTAGTGAGAACAATATTCCTATGAATAGGGTGAAAATAAAAACACACAGTATATATAAATGAATGTAATTAATAATTTTATTTAACTTTATTTTTTTTAGATTCTTTTATTGTATAATACGAAATTATCATCATGGTACGTAAAGGTATTTTATTTAGTTGAGAATTCTAACAATCCAATTTTATTAAAATAAATGTTCAACTTTTCATTTCAGAATGCTAAGGCTACTGATGGTATAATTCTATCACCACGGCCATCTAGTTTCCATAGGTAAAAAACTTCCCACTATTGTCTTTAATAGTACGTAAACTTTTATGTTAACTTTAATTACTTATAGCACCTGGTGTTCGGTTTTGTATATGATGGCTTTGATGGTAATGAAACTGCCACTGGTAGTAACCCACTTTTGCGGCTCTTGAGTATATTAATGGCGAATTTGGATAGCTATTTAATCAATCGTACCTTTTAGGATCATCTATATTCGGAAACTTTTGATTATTACATTTGGTACGAGTGTATTTATATCTTTTGAATAAGATCCGAGTCAATGGGTGATTTAGATAAAAATCTCTACACATTTTCCCACAAACCTAAGTAGTAGTAATTGCATTCATATTATGGTGCAATTGCCTATTTCTAAAAGAGAAGTAACCTGTCATGTGAATTATGGACGAAAAACTGGCAGTTTTGCTGGATAGTATATAGCGAAACTAAAACTACACTGACAATTCTCAAAAAATTGTTTCGTTCTACAATTTTTATTCCAAATGAGTTGAAAGATGAAAATTTAAACATTAAACACGAGATAAATACCCTGATACTATTCCGTTCATGGATGATGATAGTGTTGCTGAGAACTGAATTATCTGAGCGGAAATTTTCTCCATATAGAATTACATTTGACAATATACACTCCCCAGAAATCCTTTTCTTTATGGCGCTTCACTGATGTAAAGGAGCTTTTTGTATTTAGAGATGATAGCTGGGAAGAATTACCAACATACGAAGGCTCAACCATGGAAATATCGGTTTAAAAGAAGACAATAGATATTATTATTGAATTCAAAAAAACTTCCACTAATGAAGCTTCACGGAGAGAATACATATCACCTATTCTTCATCCTATTGTTTTCAAAGTATACCCTGAATATGAAGCTACGGGTATGGACTTTTATAATATTGATTCTTTATTGTTATGTTTGCTGTTACATTTAAATCGCAAATTTGAAATCTATATTTATTTTATATTGTGTAACCTAATTTTATAGTAATATAATAATTTTCGCGTAAGCGGCAAAATAATTTCTTTTGTTATACAGTATTAGATAAAACTTCTACGGATTTCCATGGAATTTCGTAGCCCATAAAAATTTCATCTGAGATTTCATACTTTTACATTATCAAAATTTATAAATTAAACTGAAGCACATGTTGCTTTTTATTTTTGTTATTGATGGCATTGAAATTTTGAGCTACATCAAAAATAAACGATAAAAATAAATTGTAATACATGAGATATTAAAGGTTTGTCTATAATAACCTTTTTTTTCGCTCCGGACTTACAATAGTTGCCGTTTCCTAGTTTATGATTTATAAAAGTTCGGATATATCCGTAATCCTAGGATATTCACTGAATAACCCATTAGGATCATTCACCGGATCTAAGCTCTAAATTTTTTATAGTTTTTTAAAGAAACTTTTTTCATTGGCATATTATACTGTATATTTTTATAGACACATGGATAAAAATAAATTGTTGATCTCATGTGATATAAGAAATTACGCGGACGAAAAAAGGAAGTCGGTTATTATAATAGGAAATAAAATTCTGACCGGCATTATCAAAAATTATCTAAAAAAGGAAAGGTTTTCATGATTTTTTTAGTTCAAAATACGCAAACTCAAACCTGACCCTTTATATATATTTCTGGGTCCTGGTATGCTGTCGTACAAATGACATAACGGATTTAAATGGTAGATATGCGTAATAAGCTAAAGATTTAGGGAATTTATGTAGTACATATATAGGATCTGCAAAGTGATCGACAGTGTAACATTAACGATTCTCATATAATAACTTTTTTGCATCTTGATTTCCATTTCTATTGTCATATCGGGACGAAAAACAATTTTTATTTCCGGTTTTTTATTATTTGTTTCGCACAATAGTAAATTTGATTTTTCATATGAATTCTTTTATCAAATATATCAAAGATTTAATAGACAATCTACTTTATATAGAAGTATGTGAAGTATGTGATGCTACATGTCCTGCACTACATTTTCAACAAAATTTCAAAAATTGGACTAGTGGTAGTGATGAAGTTGATAAATTGATTCAATTTATTCAGTTATCATCACATTATTATGTAGGAATAGAATGGATACCTTATGACAGATTTTATGATATTAAATATATTGCAGAAGGTGGGTTTGGCAAAGTCTATAGAGCAAACTGGATTGATGGACCTATAGAAAGACTATTTTCGTGGGATGATAAAAACGAAAATTGGAATAGAATAGATCAAAATGGATTTGTAGCTCTGAAAAGCCTAAATAATTCAAAAAATAGTACATTTGAATTTTTGAAAGAGGTATTGTTGTATTGTTGTTTAACAAATTTTGAAAAGTTTTATTTATAACTAATATGTTTTATTTTGTACATTAAATTCAGATTATATTTCACACAGATGTAATAACTTATTTTAACTATGGTGTTATTAAACCTTATGGAATAACTCAAGATCCAGAAACAAAAAATTATATGATAGTTCTAGATTATGCAGAATTAGGAAGTTTACGAAATTATTTAGATACAAGTTATAATGAATTATCTTGGAGTGATAAGATTTGTATTTTAACTGATATTGCACTTGGAATTCGATATATTCATGATAATGAAATAATTCACCGAGATTTACATGTTGGCAATATATTATGTAAAGATAGTGTAATTTGTATAGCTGATTTTGGATTATGTAAACCTGCAGATCACAATGCATCTGAAAATACGAAAAAGGGTGTTTATGGTGTTTTACCTTATATGGCTCCTGAAATTTTACGAGGGCAAAATTATACCAAAGCTGCTGATATTTACAGTTTTGGTATAATTATGTATGAAGTAATTACTGGATTACCTCCATATCATAATTCATCTCATGATGAATTTTTAGCATTAGATATTTGTGAAGGACTTAGACCAAGTTTTAATATTAGGGTTCCTCAAATAATTTTTGATTTAATTAATAAATGTTTAGATGCGAATGCTTTAAATCGACCAACGGCAGGAGAAGTTCATGAAATTGTAGATCAGTGGAAAACAGAATTAGCTTATGATTATCTTGGGGACCATGTAAAGGAAGTATATGATAAATATAAAATGATTGAAACAGAAATACGAGAACAGGCTAAAGAATCGGAAGAAACTAATAATAGCAATAAATCATCGACTAGTGCTATTCCTTCAACTAGTTTAGGAATATCATATGAAATACATCCAGAAGCCATTTATACAAGTAGATTACTTAATTTTAGTATTAATCTTCCAGAACCAAAAAATTCAGAAGAACGATACAGGTAACTAATATTTATATATTATAATTTATTTATGTAATAATAAAAAATAATACTTTATTTTTGTTAAATAGAATTTAAGAAATTGATATTTCTCAATTGAAAATTAACGAAAATGGTAAAATTCTTAGATTTTATGAAGGCTTGATTTTGATTCATACTGTATTTAGCATATATAGTATATATTTTAAATTCCTTTTTTTCAAAAAAAAATCAAAAATAATAAGTCTAAAGGTGGAATCTAGTAATTAACTCATTTTATTAGTTAATAGTTGCAATGAACTTTTAAAAATTAGAATATTACACAGATTTGATAGAAATTTACAGTAGAATTGTAAATAAGATCCAATTTACACTTACTAGTAATGTAAAATATTATATCTTATATAAATTGCAATTATTTTACTTATTCTCAAAATTTTAATATCAAAAATTTTAAAGAACACTAAATTAAGTCTATCAAAATTTCATAATGTATTGAACTTTCATTTCTTGCGAAAAAACGAAGAGAAGGGACGAAGGTAATACTGAAAAAATTCTTGCAATACATGAATTTTAATAATAAATTTCATGTTAACAAACTCATTTTAATTACCAATTAATAACCCTAAGTAGATTAATCCAAAAAGATTCTTAGACATCATTCTAAGGTAGAAAATTTTAATATGATGGTGATAAGTATCATTGGCCTAATAAATCAAATATATGTCTAGTCCCATATAAAATTTATACTGTATTTGATAGATTTTTTCTTTGCTTTTGTAATAAAATTCCTATTATTCCAGATTTGCATCGAAAAGCATCCTAAATCATTACTACTTCTTTCATGAAATAGTTTGCTTTTAAAAGAATTACAAAAATAATTTTTTTCTTTAGTGTTAACATTCGTTTTGAGTGACTGTTTGAAGTAATGAAGCACGGTTTATTAAAGATTAAAGATTCCATATTTTTTAACGGTTAAATGTCCATCTCAAAAAAGCATGTGAAATAGTAGTAAAATATAGATATCGTATACATCCGAAATTAAGCACCCTTTTTTGACCGTAATGCTAGCTAGGAACAGCATAACGCAGGCCAAAATTTTCATAATTCTGGCCAGGGGTGCTTATTTCGGGGTGCTTAATATCGGATGTATACGGCATACGGCAGTCACTAGTCAGTCGTAAAAAAAATCCTGATTTCTTTCATAGTGACAATCCATAATCGGAATAACGTATTGTCCATCATAAAATACTTTGAACATTTGTTCAAGGTGTCACGTGTGCATTTAGCATGTCATTTTCTATACCATGTTTTATGATTTTGGCTGGAATTGTAAAATTATAGTGAGTTACGAACTACATGACATACCCACATTATTTTCCAAACCATGGTATTCCTACAATACTAGTAAGGTATCAAATAACAAGAACTGATCGACTAATTCAATACTAAGAAAAGTTACGTGATTCTTTGTGAACTCCCAGATTCAATCCTTAATAATTTTCGTTCCTCAGAAAATTACAAAGATTTTTTTTGTATACATTTCACTTTCTATATCCTTGACAGGAAGTTCAATAACATTTATAATACAATAATAGGCACTATTAATAATCTTAATCGCCATATTAAATGAAAACCTTTATATGAGATTATCCATATTCTAATCTGAATAAGTGTTATATTGTTTATTGGATGTCAGGTTTCTACGTGGTAAAGTCGTTGAAACACCTCGGTCAAAAATTACTCCTTAGTCCTTTCTATTCCATTCACCTTATGGAGTTGTCAAATACCGTATCATAATTAATTATGTTGAAACTTATAATATATTTGTTTTTTGCTTCTCATGTTGGTCATACTTGAAAGATTTCACTTACCAACTTTTTATATTTTTAAATGCAAATCTTTCGCATTTGAAAATAGCAAAGATCTGTCCTTGCAATTTACTCGTATATTTTGTGATTTTTGTCCTCTTTAACCACTCTATGTTTAGATGTAAATTTATAAATATTTATGATTGAGCTTGAAATCAGAAATCAAATAATTATTCACAATACAAGCAAGAAAGACATTTAGTTACATTGATTCCGTAAAGATAATCGCTTTTCATATCTATTAGTTTTTGTTACTAGTAGTGTAAGATTCTCACATTTAATTCAATATAAAGCTTTCAGCAATATCATTAAGGAACGTCTCGTCAACACAAGCTAATATAGTTATTTGTTAATATGTTCATTTTATTAGGTTATATGAATAATTTGTAAAAAAAATATATGATGCGTATTTATAATGAAAAATTTATTTTACAATGAGTATGAGTTAATATATACATTTTATTTAAGTTAAATATAGATTAAGTTTGCAGTATCACATGTACTGGTTTTTAAATTTAGCAATGCATTACATAATTAAATCGTATTTTACTTGTTTATTTTTTTTAATAATGATTTTAAACTTTAAACTCCATTGTAATCAAAAATTGTGTATATTGTATTCTTTAAAATAAATTATATAATTAATAAATGATGTTAATATTTTCCATGATTTTAAATTTTCGATACTTCATAAACTTCTGTAGTACAAGTAATGCTTCATCCATATTTTAATAAGCTACTCGGGTATTTAAAACTATAAATTTAAAAGAAAATAAATTATCGTGCATAAAGAACAAATTCAATATTGTATTTATTGATTGAATATTTGATAGTATTTTCTATAAAAAAATAACTATTAATATCGTCTCATTACATGATAGAAATTAATTGTACAAATTAGAGTTTCTGAATTAAACACCTTCTTAAACATAATAATAAGAAATTCTTTCAAATCAAATTTTCATACAAAATCCTCGATCCTCGATAAAAAGCAATTTGTAATTTTCACCTATTACAGTTTTAATAAATTGTGGTCATTTATTTTTAATTGGATTATTAAGAGACATTTCTTTCAGCAAAGATATTATTTAACCTTGAAATGAAAGTATCATATGTATAATAACTAATTAAAACCAATTTATAATCCCAATACTACAATTATTACAATCATGGGTGCACTATTTTTTTCCACAAAAGGTTAACTCTAAATAAAGAAAGCTCCATATATGTAACTTCTTTAAGTATATAATTTTTTCAAAAACAATGTTATATGTTAAAAAAAAATATTAAGATGTTTAATCGTAGTGAATTTGATGCATTTGAAATCATCAATCACAGGATAGATATCCAATCAGATAAATTACGTGTGATCATTTAACGCATTTTCAACAATTGAATTTCAAAATTCAACGAGCTTGAAATTAATATGCAATTTATGAGATTTCCTTAGGTCAGATCACTCATATGTTTTTGAGTAATACAATATAATGGATGATGCAAAATTCATTTTTTTTTTATCTTGTTATTACTATAAATTGGTAAAAGGGCAAATTTCGTTTAATTGTCCAGATTCACTATTAAATTTTTAAGTTTATAGAAATATAAGTTTGAAAGTTTAGCTTAGAGAATATGTTTACAAAAGCAAATCATAATAGACATCAATTATAACTCTAATGTAGAATGTATATTATAACACACTTAATAACAATGTTATTTATTAAATAAAATAAAAGAATGAAAAAAAGAATAAATAACGACTTATAGGCTTTAAGATAATTTAGATATAATATTCAAATATCAAAATCAATTTCCTGTGAAATATATCCTATTTTTTTAAATTAAAAAATCAGATTAAGATAATAAAAATATTTATAGAATTATACAATAGTATTTACTTACTTTCATCATTAATATATTTTATATCCAAATTCTTGCTTAATATAATCTAAATAAATGAAAATAAATTTTATTAGGAATAAATAGTATTTTGTTACAAAGATATAAAAAGGATTTTACCATTATTCTCATTTTCTATTGATCTTATCTTTTTAATAATTTTATCTGAAAATATTTCACTTTAGTAAATATTGAATCCATTTGCACTTATATACTATATAATTTTTGACTTTATAATACCTTCATTAAAACAGTTTTCAATTTTGTTGTCTTCAAACTTCCTTTTACCTTTAAATGAATACAAATAATAATACCATTAAAAAAAAAAATCTAAATAGTAATGAAGCATAGTATTATTATTACTTCTGATATATAATTCAGATTGATTCAATCATCCAAATTAGGAACAGACATCCATGTCCAATTATTTGGACAGTTTATAAATAGCTTGGGACGGTATCATTCAGAATCCTATTTTTTGTCAAGTAAAAACATTTAATATCATATTTACCAACTTCCGTAATTATCTAAACTTCTTGTAGACATTGCAGATTGAATCATACCACTTAAAGATCTACTCCTGTAAATTGCGCCTGGATTATTTGTTTTTACAGGTCCAATACCTGACGATCTTATAATTTTAGTTGGATTTTCATTTTCGATAATGACTATTTTACACATTTTGTTTTTTAAAACAGTAGCTGTTGGCCTTTTATTTGGATCAGAATTCCAGCATTCTTTCCCTATGAAAAAAGATCATCCAATTTTTGTGCAATATTTGTTCAAGTCCGTGCAGAAATCATACAATTATTGCAGTTTTTTGGATAAAAATGGCCATGTCGATTTTATAGTGTATTGAAAATGTGCGATCTTTGTACAATTGAAAATAAACTTAAATTAAGTATACAGAAAACGTTCAACTTTTGTGCAATAAAAGTTTAGGATATAAAAATTGTGCGATTATTGTACAATATTTGAAAATATACGAAATATACGTTTATTTTAGTACAATCGTTACAATTGTACGATGGGAGATCATTTTACTTTAATTGTGAATTGTGAATGTATTTAAAAAGTAATATATATGACTGTTTACCTACAATGTATTTATTTTAAATTAACTTATAATTTATAATAATATTAGCGATCAAGTTATTTTATTATAACAGAACCGCGTTTCTATAATATACATTTAATATCATTTAACCCATTTAACCGTAATTCAACCATATTATAATCGTGTATCAAGTTTTTATAT